AGCTCTCAAGTTGAGGCCAAAATGGACGGGATATCCCACGTTATCCTGAGAGTCCACCTCTACATCAAGACAAACTCTCCATGCAGAGATAGGGAGCAAATACATTGACGCCCTGTCAATGGGCTGCCACTTTATTTGGGGACTCTAAAACTGAAAACACGGCAACCCTGCTAATATATTTGCTCCCTATCTTTGCATGGAGAGTTTTTCTTGGTGTAGAGGTGGACTCTCAGGGTAGGGTGGGATATCCCCTCCATTTTGGCCTCATTTTGAGAGCTTTTTTTGAGCTTGGGAGATGATTTCAGAGAAAACCATTGGAACCATCGTGTTTCTCGCGAACTTTTACATTAGAATCAATGGTCAAATCGCAAATCCCTCACACATGCAGCATCTCCATTGCGTGGGTATATTCCTGTAAAAAATGGAATTGTTTCAATCAATTTTGCAACCTTGGAATAAAGTTACGTTCCTTTGCCCCAAAAGGCCACAACTGCAAATTTTTACCAAATAATCATAAATCCATCGTTTCAAAAAACACTAATTTTTCATGTCCTTTCTATTTTCAAATTTCAAAAAACGAGATTTATTTTCACTCACAAAATTAGTGTAGTTCCTCCTAGGTACCAATGAACGTCATAAATACAGAATACTCTAATAATTGGTGTCCTGTTTATGAATCGTGGCATGATTAGTCGGAGCAGTAATTTAGTGAAATGACGTTCAGAATCAGACACCTAATTATTATAATTATTCGTGTGATCGGATTAGCGTGTGATCCTTGTGGGCGGTCGCTGCTGTGGTCCGGCAAGATAATGACACCTTTTTCCCGCGTGACTCAAATACGCGTAAAAACCTATGAGAGTCTACGCTAAAAGCTGTGTATCATCAAAACAACAAGATGTGCCGTGCTAAGGTTATTATTGAATCTGCGAAATGTTAGCTGCGCCAAGGATGTTTTGTGGCCTACCAAAAAATTGAAGGAAATTTATAACAGCGTGCTTTAACTTCGTGTTCCTTTCGTACTCCTCCAAAATTGCCTCCATTGGAGTCAAAATGTCGTTTGAATTTCATTTCTTAAAAAAGAACAGCCTGTAGCATCAAAAATGTTTTCCTTTCCGCGATAAATCACAACTAATTATGACAATTATCAAAGGCTTTGTATCACATCGAACGAGTCTGTTGACGCGTATGGAAGTTGTAGAATCAGCGGTCTCATCGTTCAGTTATGCAATCATAGTTGTAAATCATTTCTTTTATGCCGTAGAAGTGTTTATGCAACATGGGCTATTTACGACTCGGATGTTTTCATCGGGTTAATCGGTAAACCCTTGCCGATTGATAACCGACCGAACCGTGGAAAAAGGCACTGAAAAAGGCACTGAAAAATGCTGTGAAAAAGGCACGGCCCCTCTTTTAGTTATCACTTAGAATGACCCGTGGGCCTTCCCCGGCCGCACGAGATATAAATCAAGAGCGCCTGCAGTTTTTGCTTTATGCAATACGGGCAGCTTCGGAGCTGATATAGTTGCATCTTGGCGTTAGTTACAACCTCCCGTCGTTTCCGTCAATTAGGTTACATGATTGAAGGCGCTTTTAGTTTTTTCTTTGTGTTTTTGTTTTCGGTTTTTTGTTTTGTTTGAGTCCTGTAACAGAAACGCAATGTTTTATCACCCCTTCTTGCAAAGAATTAGTCGCAACTATTTTTGAAGACAGTCTGCAGTAATGCTCCAAGAGGTGGAAAATGGACCGATGGCATTAAAATGAAAATAATGGAATGACTCTCTTACGCATCAAATTCAAAATATCAACGAAATTTGGAAATTTTCCTCGCCCTAAGGATTTGAAAAGTGATTGAATACTTGAATTTTGGAGAAGTTAAGGAAACTACTGCCATAAGTTGCATAATATGGTTGGTCAGTTTATATGTTAAATTTCAAAATTATGGACAGAAAAGCGAGAGTACCGCAAAATAAGTCAACATGACTTAATGTGGTATGAGATTGTCAATAATGGTAAATACATAGGTCATAAAACACAACGTAAAACGCACTTTAACCATAAAAAAGAGAGAAATAAACTGGAAAAAGGGGGGTAAGAACGCCGAAATAAGAAAATAAATACAGCTAAGTCATTTCGGGCTAATTACATGCATATTTTCAACTGAAGCCGTAGCTAAAAATAATAAATGAAAACACGACAATAGGCATGTAATTTACCTAGCCACGAATCAGAATCAGTGTTAAACATCTGATTCTTTCCTCAGTCAAATGCGTGTACATTTGCGCGTTTTAAGTATTCCTTGTTTTAATTTATTCCTTGTCCTATTTATGTTTATCCTTTGTTCTAGGCAAGAATGGGCTTGTAATTAGCGCAACATTTCCTGGCTGTGTGTTTTTTTTCCTCCATTTTTTAGCCTCGTTATTTTATGTTTTTCAGTGAATTTTCCCTGTACTACACATGTCTAGACAGATCTAATAATTTCTTGCTACTTTAGCAGAAACATTTATTTGAACACTCTTCTCTGACTCGCGCAACTTGTCCATGACGTCATCGAGTACGAATTCAAACTGATCATTCTTCGCCTCATCCCTTGAACGAACACTCTTCTCTGACTCGCGCAACTTGTCCATGACGTCATCGAGTACGAATTCAAACTGATCATTCTTCGCCTCATCCCTTGAACTCCTCTGAGGAGTTGTCAATGTCAAGTTTGCCTTGTTTCCGAAAAGAGCAGTAACGCTCAATTTTTCAAATTCGAGTTTCTTTCGAATGTTCCTTCCGCCCTCGAAAATTCGACATATTTAGATTTTAATGACTATGACTGATTTACTTCAAACAACAAGATTATTTGTCCTATTTATATAGTAATCAGGGTTGTAGGAAATCAGGAAATGCGCTCAAATCACGTCTGTTCAGACAAAACAGCAGTAAGTCCACTGGCTGAAAAAGAGCACGGAAAGATCTTGGGGTCACGCATTTCTCCGGGCAGTCCGGGGTCTTATCCCGTTTGGGCTCTCTTCGGTAACACGGCAGTACGTCAAGCAACGTCAAATGACGGCACGCGGCGCACGCCGCGTCAGCCACTGGCGCTCGCCGGACCGCCATCCGATCAAGTCATCGGCGGATCGCAGAAGTCAGGGGCAGGGGCTCGTCCGCGAGAGAACGGTGCGGGACTAAGTCAAGGTCGCCCCCCCGCCCCCCCCCCTGCCCCCCATCAGACCCCCCTGCAGCCCCCCTCCAACGTGGACACATCGTCAGTCACGGTGCGACCGCAGAGTATGTAGTAACAAGCTGAAATCGCATCCGGGAATAATGCTGCCGTGCTAAGGAAGAACGCCGTATGAACATTCGAGAGTTGCCAAATTTCCCCGGATAAAACATGTATTTATGACGAAAATGCTTATTTTCCCTTGAAATTTTCAGATAAATTAGATTACATTGCGAACGAAATTGTCTGAAAAATTGGATGAAAAATATTTACTATTTCCCCAATAAATTAGTATTTTATCAGAGGAAGTTTGGCAACGCCTGAAGGTTCATGCGGCGTTCTTCCTTAGCACGGCAGAATGCCTCTTTGATTGATTAATCCCGCGTCAGGTATCCACTCGCTTGTCAAACGGTGGGCGAAGAGTGGCGTTCCTTGCACCGCGGTCGGCGGAATGTCCCGCGAATTTGCAACCTTGGCGAGTGGATCGGTTTCGCGAGGCGCCACGCCGGAAGGAAGGAAATCCTCCGCCCACGCCGCGCCGGGCGCGGAAAGGTGGAATTGTTTCGGACGGACGGAATCCCTTGACACATGATTGATCGATCACGCAGGAGTCTGGGCGGTGGTGGAGAGCCGTCTGCACTGCCGGGACGATGACTTGCTCACGAGGAAAATAATCCCCGTCAATGGATGCGATAGCCACGTCGCATTGATACGTTGCTGATAAAAACAATGCTTCTTTCTGATTGGACCAGACACATGTAGAGACCATTAGAGTCCGCTTGGGCGAATTTCCGCGACTAGCTTCATGGTTTGGATGAATGGCTGTAGTATCACACTGAAAAAAAAAGTTAAGGACTATAGAGAGAGAGAGAGAGACATACCGTCTGTTCCGGATTCAGAGGCCAAAACTTCCGGATGCTGGAGCCGTAAGGTGCTACGCCCGGAACTTTCGGCCTCTGAGCCCGGAGCGCGTACGGTATATCCATATTTATTTAGCCCGTAAGTACAGCTTCCGTGGCCGGAGTTTTTTTTCAGTACACCTTTGCAGGACGGATCAGAAGCGAGTATTTAATTTTCAACCAAACCCTGAAGAGAATGGACCAAATGCCGTTTTAAGTTCAAAATTAGGTTCAAATCGAAATTTTTTCATAATATCTATTCCACCTAAAATTGAATAGCAGATTTGACGTCCGAAATGCAGCATGAAATTTTGAAAGTTTGCAGATGAAATCAATTTTTTTCTGCGCGGTCAAATCATCAGGACTTCAAACTTCATTCCGTGCCCTTGCGTTCATCTGATTGTGAGCATGATAATGCAATTACCTGTTGGAATACAAAGCTCACGCGTAGAAACTAACGCCCTTGCTTTTGAGTCTCTATTCGCTACTCATTTTACATTGTTTTTCATTTCAGGTATTAAAAGTGTTCTAATCAATGTTTTTATTTCTACAGCAGTTTCGAAGGTAAACTTTAGTAAAGTCGTCACGCATTTTATAATTCGGACGCATTTCTGCCAAACGGAACTGTGTGTATTAAGACATGAGCCCTCCCCCAAGAATGCGTGCATTACAGGGCTCACGTCTTAATGCACATAGTTCCGTTTGACAGAACTACGTACAATTTAAGTAATTAATCCCTCGTTTTTATGACGGAAGTATTCATTCTGAGCCTGAAGAACTCTCCATAAAAAAGCTATTATCGATTCAATTATCGCGTGAAAACTTCACGGGTTTGCTTCATCCTCAAACTATGTACAATATCTAATTGAGTATGTTATTTTTTCATCTTTCAGGTGTTGTCCATAATTCTGTCTTCCTAATACTTCTTCTACTTTTGGTGGTGGTCAAGTTATGATGACATGCTCTCCTCAAAAATCATCCCAATGCTCAATCCACGGACGCATTTAAACTCTCTTTATGGAGTGAATGCTACAGCCGCCTTACAACGCTTCTCTCATTTGGTGGAGGAGTTCGTTGGACATTTCATCGAATCTTATATCATTCATATTTCTACTTTGTGCCATTTCGCCGATCATCATTAGATTAGAATTTTAATAACACGCATTTGTGTTTGTAATAATTTTGTTTTCTTTCCAGAAAATCTGTAATTTTTTGTATTTTATTTTGCCTTTTTTAGTACACGTCTTATTTTTTACTTCTCAGAGTAACCGTTCAAAAACCACGTAACGCAAACTTTAACTATCCCACCACTTTTCTATAATCTAACCATAATCCAAGATTTTTCCCCCTCCTTCTACCTTTGACCCAAGTTATCTTTAAATGAACGTCCCATTTTCATAGATTTTCAACAAAGTTATTGGTTAAAATCGCTCACGACCCAAATTTATAGTACTTTTTTGAAATTTGAAGCCACACGTAACTATTTGCGTCACATTTCTTCGCTCATTTTTCACTGCAACGCATAATTGGACCCTCTTCCGTCCAAATGCATTTCGTAACATTTTCATTGTCTCTCGATGAGTTTTTTTTGTAAAAATATAAACTTTTCATCTTTAAAAACTGAAAAATGCGGCGCACTCAACTTTGAAACTTGCACTGAAACTCATTAGGTTCATAGTGTGACTCTAATCTTAATGTTTTTGCTGTTTCTGGTCTTTATTCCTCCTCAGGAAGTGTGATCCCTGCCTTATTCTGTTATCCTGTTACTTGCAGTATTGGGACCATTTGTTCAATGTTTTTCTTGGTGGAAAGTTTAAACTTGACATGTTAACCAGTTAACAGGTATCAAACGTAAACTTTACGAAATACGTGGTCAAAAATATTTTTTAAGTTGCAGTATACGGCGCNCACTCACCACCAATGTAGATTCATCACAAAATGCTTGTAGAATGTTTCAGATCTTCGCGGTCGATCCGAAGTGTTGAAGAGTCTTGCGGTTAAAGAATCCCACTTTTAATTCCAATTTCGTCAGTCTTCGGGTACATAGGTTGATAGTAATATGCTTTGTCAAAGAAGCGCCCTCCAACGCTTGGGCGTTGGAACTGCTTGTTTTAAGTTGCAGTATACGGCGCATACACTGAAAAAAAAAATCTCGGTGTATTTACTAAGAAAAGGGTAAAATTACCAAGAATTCAGGGTTCTTTTTGATCCCAGTTTTTTCTTGGTAAAATTACCATTTATGGAATTGGTAATTTTACCGAGAAATCTCGGTAAAATCATTAACTTTCTCGGTAATTTTACCGAACCCCGGTAAAAACGCCAATATTTTTTATCGACTGTGGTAGAACTACCGAGATAAAATGGCAAAGTTACCGGGATTTGATTACCAATAAAAGTGGTATTCTTACCTGAAAAAAACAGTAAAAATACCGGTTTTTAGGTAAGCTTACCAGTCTTTCTTGGTAAAATTACCAATAATTGGTAAAAAAAAAAAGTGAGATGGTAAAGGTACTAACGGACCTTGGTAAAAACGCCGAGAATTTTTTTTCAGTGCAGTTTGAACAGCATTTCACATCCGAACCAGTGTAATAAGGCATACCGACGGCGAAAGTCGGCAATCACATAACTCGTTTGCGGTGTCTGAAAATCTCCGCTTCTACGTCATTTTTTTAAAGGAGAACAAATTGATATTATTTCTTGAAGTTTTTGCAGAATTTTCTTCGCATTGAGAAGAAAAATCGTGACAGTTTTAAAGAATTGCCGTTGAGTAGTTTTCCATTTAAAAAATAAAGTATGACAGGAAGTCTGCGACGTCGCAAACCGAGTTATGTGATTGCCGACTTTCACCGTCGATACAGGATTTACATGTCATTAGCATTAACAGCTGGTTTCAAACTTTTTGTTCATTTTCTTTTCCGTCATGGTAGAAATGTGTTTTACTCTTTCTCACTTATAACGCATCCAATTCGAGTAAAATCGGAACAAGTCCCCTCTCCTCCTAGTCCACATGAGAGAAACACCTCTTCCACAGTAAGTTTCTCGTTTTTTATATACATTTGTATCAAACAAAAATCGTTGAATATAGTTTTCAAAAAATTAGCAATCAGTTTTTATTACTCATTTACCCATATATTTTATTTACTTGAAGATAATTTCAACCCGCAGGTTACGACGCATTTTTTCATTGAATTTACATGCAGGGCCGGATTAAGGGGGTGGCCACATGGGCCGCGGCCCATGGCGGCAAATCTATAGGGGGCGGCAAATTTTGCATTTTTTTTAAATGTAGGTATAGAAATTCGAATTTAGAAAAAAAATCACAAACGAGAAAAGGCGACAAAATCTCTAATTTTCTGAGAGTATAGTAATTTCTACTTTTGTCGTCTTTCAGTGATACAAATTACAGCACCTTTTACTAGTCAAGTTAAGAGAGAAACCAAACACGCAATTTGGCCTGGAACGGCGCGACTTAGAGAGAAACGATGACGAGGACTTGAGATGAAAAGGAGAAGCCCTCGGCGCGGCGATCGGCATGTAACACATATTAGCCCCTACATGACTACATAAATACTTCACGCATGGCGGCAAACACAGTGCGATCAGCGTGAAACGCATAGCGCCTACAAGACTGCGTGAATACTTCACGCATTGCGTCAAACACAGTGCGTTCAGCAGCAGTCGGCGTGAAACTCATAGCGCCTACAAGACTGTCGGAATACTTCACGCATTGCGCCAAACACGGTGCAGTCTGCGCGGCGCGGTGGCGGAAGTTATAATTTTTAAACCATATTTATGTCGGTTCTTTCATAATTTTTTCGTTCATTTCTTATGAATGGAAGGCCTTGTCTACACAGAGATAGGTTTACGAGACTTAACTTTCGCGCAAAGTTCCGTGAACTTTTGCTAATAGTGTTGACAGGGCTTTCCCAAAAAATGTGTTCAACACAAGTAAACGCGTCTTATGCACCCCTCCCCCGGTGGCACATTCATTTGATGGTTTTTATTGATGTTTGAAAACGAATGAGAAGGGGGCGGCAGAATACAAGCGGCCCACGGGCGGCATGTAGGTAAATCCGGCCCTGATTACATGTGTAATTAGTCATAATTTTACATCATTCGATCCTTTTGGGGTTTGAAAAAATTATCACAATCAACTCAATTTCCTTTTCAATTAGCATGATCTTGCTGAATGGGGAAGATACTGTTCATTCTGTGTTTCAAATGTTTGCTATTCATTGTATGTCGAAACTTCAGGATAATACTTTGGATCGCATTTCGACGGCGTAAGTCGGCAATCCCATAACTCGGTTTGAGACGTTTCAGACGTTCTGTCATACTTTATTTTTTAAACGGAAAACTACTCAACGGCAATTCTCTAAAACTGCGATTTTATTTCTTCTCTGTGCGAAGAAAATTCTGCATAACCTTCAAGGTATGATGTCGATTTGTTCTCCTTTAAAAAAAGAACATAGAAGCGGAAATTTTCAGACACCGCGAACGAGGTATGCGATTGCGGACTTACGCCGTCGATTTAGCAAAAAGGAACCAGCGCGTTTACAGTATTGTAACAATTTTGCCTCATCATAGTTATGTGAAACAATCTCCCAGAATAGCAAATAATTCTGGCTTCCCACCAAAATGTTTGTCAATTTTAATGGAAAATAATAGTGTAAATTTTAATACTGAACATACAATACGTATTTTTAAAAGGAAAGGGAGAAGTTGCACAATTTTGAAAACACTGTAATCGCGCTGGTGCCTTTTTGCTAAATGCGATCCATACTATCCTGTAGCGTTTCAGCAGTTGTCTAAATTTGTGTCACGTTTGATAAGTTGTCACAAAATAAAATCAGGCTGATTTGCTTCGAAAGGAACAGAATCTTTAGATTCGAAGGAAGACGAAAATAAATAATTGAGTCGTCTTGGAACTAATTAAATCATCCCCTCCATCAAGCAATGATGAGTATATTGAGTTCGACTTGCGCGTCGGCGTACTGCCGTGCTAAGGAAGAACGCCGTATGAGCCCTCAGACGTTGCCAAATTTCCTTCCATAAAAACTGAAATTATAGGGAAAATTATAAATATTTATTTCCAAAATTTTCAGACAATTTCATGCGCAATTCTATCTAAAATATCTGAAAATTTCAAAGGAAAATATGCATGAATGTCGTCAACAATACATGTTTTATGAAGGGAAATTTTGCAACTCTCGAATTTTCATACGGCATTTTTCTTCAGCCCGGTAGTGTAAATAAATGAATAAAACGATCTCCATGAAAAAAACTCCCTTCTGAAAACGAGCAATATTGGGTCGCCCACTCGTTTCAAAAAGAGAAATGTAAACGACTCTGTGTCAAAATCAAATTAATCGACGCGATAACCAGATTTATACGAGCGGAGCGACATTGATTTGAGGAATAAAATAGCAAAAAAACGAAAACCGAAAACATGAGCACGGGTGACAACGAAGATAACGAGAGACGGATGATTCATTTTTCCGATTCTTTTGTCAATTTCCCGTCACCTCTCATCGCAGCACCTCCATTGTCCAGTATCCATGACAGGCGCCAGCCTCCGCATTTCGATCCCATGACGCTCATTTCACGAATCTCGCTTCCTCTGGAAATCATTCGGACGTCATTGATCTCGTCGTTTAATTGCTTGTAGTTTTTTAAAGCGTTTATGTCAAATACACTGCACCACTACCTTCAAAGCGTAGGTGAACTGCTCTGCCGTGATAAGAAAGAACGCTGTATAAACCTGCAAGCGTTGCCAAATTTCCTTTGATAAAACTCGAATTTCTGGTAAATATATGAATATTTTTATTCCAATTTTTCAGATAATTTCGTTCGCAATTTCACCCAAAGTTCCTGAAAATTTCAAGGGAAAATATTCGTAACTTGCCTCAAAAATAAGCATCTTGTCGAAGGGAATTTAACACTATCGAATGTTCATACGGCGTTTTTCCTTAGCACGGCATCACTGAACCATACTGCCTCAATGAAACAAATCGGCAATAAAACTCCAAAACCAAGCAACTCGGTTTGCGACGTCGCAGACTTTCTGTCATATTAGTTAAAGAGAAAACCGATCAAAGTTAATGCTGAGAAACTTCCTTGGATTAATAATACCTAAACGTCATTGCTTTAAAACTTCCGTGATTTTTCTTCTCTGTGCGAAAAAACTTCTATGAAAA